GCGGATCTTCCGGGGATCAAAAAGGAGGAAGTGAAGGTTGAAATTGAAGAAGGGGGAGTTCTGCAGATCAGCGGAGAGAGAAGCAAAGAGCAGGAGGAGAAGAACGACAAGTGGCATAGAATTGAAAGAAGCAGTGGGAAGTTCATGAGGAGATTCAGGCTGCCGGAGAATGCGAAAGTAGAAGAGGTGAAGGCCAACATGGAGAATGGGGTGCTGACGGTGACGGTGCCCAAGATGGAAGTGAAGAAGCCAGAAATCAAGGCCATCGACATCTCTGGTTAGACACCGACGGTTCTTCCGCCTGATCTGCCCATGTTTTGATCGGATTGTAGGCATGGTGTTAAGTAAGTTGTTGGATTAAGTGGGTATCTGTTTTGGTGTCTTCTACGGTGTTTGGATTAAGTGGGTATCTGTTTTGGTGTCTTCTACGGTGTTTGTGAATGTTGAAATGATGGAATAAAAAGAAGGTTTTTAACTAGCGAAGTCTCTTGAGTTGGTGAATAGCAATTGTTTTGTGTGAATGTTGAAATGATGGAATAAAAAGAAGGTTTTTAACTAGCGAAGTCTCTTGAGTTGGTGAATAGCAATTGTTTTGTAGGACAGTTCGTCTCTTGAGTTGGTGAATAGCAATTGTTTTGTAGGACAGTTAACCAATATAGTAAGTTGATAGCATATGGTGTATGTGAAGTATATGTTTCTCAAACCAACTTAAAAAGTGGTGCCTGCTAAAGAAAAATCTAAAACAACTTCTTATTATAAAATGTCCAGCTCTCTCTTCTTCAATATAGAGCTCTCTCTTCTTCAATATAGTGTCTCAACTCACTCTTTTATCTTAAATTGTTATCAACTGGCTTCTAATTTTACATGCATCATTTTTATCAAACAAAGAAGTCAGTTCGAGATTCATTGTGATCCCAAAATCAATTCCAAACACAACTTAAATCAAGTTAAAAGCTCATATGCGATCAATTTTGAATAAAAGAAATTTTGAGCTCTATGTATATATTTTGTCGACTTGTAGTGGTCACACATACTGCCTACATTCATTCATCTGTGATCTGAGACACAGTCAACTTACCTTAGTTACCTTAGTCATTCAGGCTTAGTTACCTTAGTCATTCAGCGCTACCTAACTCCTACTAGGTGCTGAAGTGTCGGCCATCACAACTTACTCGATCTTGAGAACATGCCCAAGTTGATTTATAATATCGGGACATCTCAAACATCCATCCATCTAGGTTCTATCGAGGCATTGGATCTTCCCATGTTCATGTCATGTCATTTACAGCTTCGTATCAGATAATGGGTGTATGATCCAACCTTCCACATAAAAGGAAGTCGCTTGAAGCATTCATCTCCCAATGCTCACTCTCACTATGACACATGGTAGCTCGATTAAGCCACCGGACCTAAAGGTGGAGGAGAGCTGACACCATGTCATGTGATATCGTAGAGAGCCCGTCCAACGTCCAGTTGACAACAAAATTGACAAGCTTTCATATTTCAAATGGACAAACTCGACTTCAGAATGTAAAAATTTTCTCGAAACCTCGACTTACTCGAAGTTAAGATATGAGGCCATGCTCACTCTTCAACAGGTCAGTATGTGACACATACTCCAATCTACTCCGTGCCCCTATCTTGCTTGCCTCAACTTCTCTTGAATGCCCATTTTGTGTAGTGTATTGATGAGACATCGTGGGATTGTTGCTTTGCTTGTTGCAACATGAAGGGCACACCTCATCCTCACTAAATTTTAACTGTTACTCTCTTCGACAATATTCAACTTTAACCAGAAATGTCGATGGACTTGATTTCAGGCGCATGCTCTGCTCAATTCTATGCCATTTGTCCTTCTTCTCCTCTTGCTCTTTGGCGCTCAAATGGGGTAGAACACTTCAACCTCGTTCGGTCTCCACGGAGTCAGCACTCAGCTTTGACTACCCCTTCCCCTTCATGATCGAAGGTAAGTCACAGCTAACCTCTATGGGATTAGCCACTTCAACTTTTACAGCTATCCTCATAGGTAAACTTCACTGTTATTTGGTCTTGACCGCCTCTAGGAAGATCATTGTCCTAGGTCACCGTTCGCCCAATAGATTTAGGCTAAATCCTCACCGTTCGCCCAATAGATTTAGGCTAAATCCCAAATGTGCAACTCATCTCCCATCTAATTTCTTGAGTCATTACATGAACTTTGAACCCTTCAGCTTTAAGGCAATTGCTTTTATATTTACCCTCTTCTTTATAGCAAAAGGGTTGGAACTCAAAATATATGTACATTAGTAGGCTGATATTATTGTTTTCTTATTTGCTTATATTCCATTTTACACTAATTTTCATACACACACCCAACAACTTCAAACCTTAAGACTCACACACACACATTGCAGCACTTGCACACAAACAAAGACCAACAGAAACAAATGTTTAGCCTGAGATTTCAATGGATCTGATTTCAGGCTTCTTCTCTTTCGTCTTAGGCACCCTCACAGTGAGAACTCCATTCTCGATGCTAGCCTTCACCTCATCAACTTTAGCGTTCTCCGGCAGCCTAAATCTCCTCATGAACTTCCCACTGCTTCGTTCCACTCTGTGCCATTTATCATTCTTCTCCTCCTTTTCTTTGCTCCTTTCTCCACTGATCTGCAGAACTCTGCCTTCTTCCACTTCTACTTTTACTTCCTCCTTCTTCATCCCCGGAAGATCGGCCTTGAAGATGTGGGCTTCTGGGGTCTCTTTCCAGTCTATGCGAGTGTTGGCCATAGCAGAGGTGTCCCCACCAAATGGATCCCAAACATCCAATGACAATGACAATGACATGGGGTCCGAGTTGTTGTTCCTACGCCCACCGAAAATGCTTGGAATCAGCGACGTCATTTCTCACTTCTGCTTACTTCAAAGTTTTCTTAAAGAGTGCAAAAATCTGAATTGGGATATTTTCTTTTCTTCTTGTTCGTTGATGATGCCGAAATCGAGGCGCACTTCGGGGTTTAAATAGGACGTGGCATAGATAATTTGAGATATTTCGCGGGTGTTCTGGTGTTTTCGTTTCCCTTTTTGACGTTTGGTTCAAAATTGATGCGTACAAAATTCCAAAATCTTCTGGACCAATTGGGTAAGTTCATTGTTCTGATTTTTGAATAAGCAAAGAAGCCCATAGTCGAGGCCCAATGAAACTATGGATTGGATCGGAATTACTGTGCAGAGTTGGTCCAAATCCATCGAGAACGTGGTAGAAGCTTGTGGACAATCCAGGAAAGGAAGAGGGGAGAAGATACTAGAAAAGCCACGACACCACTCGCATGCTCTGTTGCTTCCTATTTAAATGCCTTGGTCCCAGCGGTGGATGGGCATCGACAAACACAGCAAACAAAGTTCCAATTCTATCATTCTCAAGTACAGCAATTCTACTATCTAATTCACCAACAACGACGATGGCGTTGATTCCAAGCATTTTTGGTGGGCGCCGGAGCAACGTCTTCGATCCCTTCTCCTTAGACGTTTGGGATCCTTTCGAAGGCTTCCCATTTTCAAGCTCACTGGCCAACGTCCCCTCCTCTGCTAGTGAGACCTCTGCTTTTGCCAACACCCGCATCGACTGGAAGGAGACCCCGGAAGCCCACATCTTCAAGGCGGATCTTCCCGGGATCAAGAAGGAGGAGGTGAAAGTTGAAGTTGAAGAGGGGGGAGTGCTGCAGATCAGTGGAGAGAGGAGCAAAGAACAGGAGGAGAAAAACGACAAATGGCATAGAATTGAACGAAGCAGTGGGAAGTTCCTGAGGAGGTTCAGGCTGCCGGAGAACGCAAAAGCAGGAGAGGTGAAGGCGAGCATGGAGAATGGAGTGCTGACGGTGACAGTGCCTAAGATGGAAGTGAAGAAGCCGGAAATCAAGACCATTGACATCTCTGGCTGATGTTGTGTTTTGGTTAAATAAAACATGTAATTTAGTAATGTGTTACATTGGAAAGTCGAAAAGGAGTCTGGAAAAGGAGTCTGGTTGGTCTGGTCGTGTACTAAACACAGAATTTCACATTGAGTCGTTGATGTATAAGATATGAATATCCAATTCTCTTCATCTCTAATAAAATAGTTTATTTCTTGTTAAGTGATCGTACACATCCAAGACTTTAAATAGGATGCTGTACAGGCTTTCGTAATGTGCCAAATGCTGTACAGGCTTTCGTAATGTGCCAAATGAACTGTAATGGTATACATAAGAAAGCAAAGAATTGTGTTCTGCAATGTGCATTCACTTTGTAATCAAACATGAAAAAGGTTTGTTTGGGTGTGTGTGATCTGCATTGTTAAGTGGTTTAGACATTTAACCAGATTCGGCTTGAGTCGGATTCACGACATAACAACAGTGATTCTAAGAGAGTTCAGATGCTAATATTCCATTAAAGCCTGAAGTGATCAGATAAATTTTTTTAGTGATCATATGGTTGAAGAATTCAAGAGTAAGCCCTATGAACCAAGTTCTTGATTTGGAGCACAGTTTGAAATTCAAGAGTAAGCCCTATGAACCAAGTTCTTGATTTGGAGCATCTTTTGGGCCTACCTATCCCGATAGGACCTCATAAAGGAGGTATTAAGTTTTTTTAATTGTAAAATTTGCTTCACTCCAACCATCTTTTTAGAATTATTTTATTTTGGAATATGAAATTTAATGCACTTAATATAATTACACAAATCCTAAAAAACAATATAATTAATCCCACTAAACTCTGATAACTTGATGTGATTAGATACTATGAAACTCGGATCCAAGAATTAATCCCACTAAACTCAAATCCTAGGTGAATGAAAAATCACTCGGATCCAAGAATTAATCCCACTAAACTCAAATCCTAGGTGAATGAAAAATCACTCGGATCCAAGAATTAATCCCACTAAACTCAAATCCTAGGTGAATGAAAAATCACATCAAGTTATCAAAGATACTATGAAACTCGGATCCAAGATTTTTGTCTAGTACCAAACAGAATTATTTAATTACCATGTATTTTCTTTTACACATTCTTTTTCATATATTTTCTCTTACACATTCTTTTTCATACATCATAAACAAAACCGAAATAGCCCACAAATAGACCGGAAATTACAAACCATTTTCTTCATCTTTTTCACATTCAAAAACATTGTGGAAAACATCAAAATCAGAAACCCACCCATTTCAACAACTTACTTCTGCCCGATCAGGAAGGAGCAGAAGAACCAACCGTGTTTAACCAGAGATGTCAATGCTCCTGACTTCTGGCTTCTTCACTTCCATTTTGGGCACCGTCACCGTCAGCACCCCATTCTCCATGTTGGCCTTCACCTCTTCTACTTTCGCATTCTCCGGCAGCCTGAATCTCCTCATGAACTTCCCACTGCTTCTTTCAATTCTATGCCACTTGTCGTTCTTCTCCTCCTGCTCTTTGCTTCTCTCTCCGCTGATCTGCAGAACTCCCCCTTCTTCANNNTGCAGAACTCCCCCTTCTTCAATTTCAACCTTCACTTCCTCCTTTTTGATCCCCGGAAGATCCGCCTTCAACACGTGGGCTTCTGGGGTCTCCTTCCAGTCGATGCGGGTGTTGGCAAAAGCAGAGGAGGAGGGGACGTTGGCCAGAGAGCTTGAAAATGGTAAGCCTTCGAAAGGATCCCAAACGTCTAAGGAGAAGGGATCGAAGACGTTGCTCCGGCGCCCACCAAAAATGCTTGGAATCAACGCCATCGTCGTTGTTGGTGAATTAGATAGTAGAATCGCTGAAAGTGATACTTGAGATTGATAGAATTGGAATTCTGTTTGCTGTGTTTGTCGAATGCTCTTCCACCGCCGGGATCAAGGCATTTAAATAGGAAGCAACAGAGCATGCGAGTGGTTTCGTGGCTTTTCTAGTATCTTCTCCCCTCTTCCCTTCCTGGATTTTCCATAAGCTTCTACCACCTTCTCCACGGATTCGGACCACCTCTGCACAATAATCTCTGTCCAATCCATAGTTTTATTGGGCCTCAACTACGGCCTTATTTGCTCGTTCAAAATCATGGGCTTCTTTTGTTCCAAAATTTAGTTCTTAATCCAATTACCAATTGGTCCCGAAGAGCATGGAGTTTTCTACGGCTTCCGTTGGAGCACCAATTTTGAACCAAAAGTCAAAATGAGGGTTTACATATATAAAAAAAAAAAAAAAAGAAAGAAATGCCTCCTCCTTCGGTCATGATACATGGAATCAGCGGACACTGTCTCTTCCTCGCGACTCTGAAATCAGCGGTGTATCTCGACTGAAGTGACCAGACGAGTTGCGGCAATTCCAGGAGAAGCGTCGTTGGCTACCAGCAACGATCATGGTTTTGATCAGTGTCGACAATATCCTTCGAAACGACATTTTGACGCCCGTTTGGCATCAGTAGCAACCCGGTTAACTCTGACCTCGAATGCCCACTCTGTTCCGACATTGGACCCACAAGATTTAGCAATTTTAGTCACTGTCCTATATAGATAATCGAGCTCACGAGGTGAGTTCGTTTCATGTGAAGGATTCATAATGTTCTCCATGATTCTTGGAGTTTTTCAATTACAGAATTGAACCCCTTTGGAGTGAAGACTCATTCTTATCATTTTATAACTCATTTAAAGTGTTGTAAATTGGAGTGTGGCCTATAAAATTTTGTTATGCTTAGATTTGAATGCTGGTCAGAGGTTTAGACGCTATTTCAGGCTAAATAACAACTTATAAATTATTTAAAGCTTTTAGAGTAAATTTAGTCATAAATATTAGTATTATTTAAGTGAATAATAAATATTTTTTGAACTTTTTTTAATTTATTAGATATCTATACATGTTATTGATATGTGAATTTATGTTGAACATACTTTAATATTGTGAGGAGACCTACCTGTTTACGAATCTCAGCCAGCCAATATAATTAGTCACGAAGGTTATCAAAAAAGTCACACACAAGGCATGTCAGTGGGATCGGAGTTTTAATATTGGTCATAATGTGACTATATTACAGGAGGTGTAGAGAAATGTTGGAGGGATTAAGAGTCGAATTCAAATCTCAAATCATAGTTCAGAGTGTTCTAGCTTGATTGTGTACCTCTTCTCACAATAAAATGCAATTCTAAAAAACTTTGGAGTGCCCATAAAAATTCAATTAAAAGGATAATGTCCAAATTACACCAACATATTAAGAATAATTTGATAAAATTAGTGTATGAAGTATTGATTGTAAGAACTCCTACTATTCCAAGACAAAAACAAGAAGCATAAGGTGAAGTGTATTGTAGCAAAAAGAGGGCATAGAATTCGAAAGTAAGGTGGTGATGGTGAATAGTAGAGGGTGTGTGAGTGTGCTACAAATGTTGTCCATATGTCCTTCCACTGTCCATCACCAACCCACCCAACATCCCATCTTTTCCTCTTGTCTTCGAATTAAAGTTCACTTGGAATGACTAAATTTACAAATATGAAAGAAAGTTTTGTGACAATAAGGGGCAGAATGATGGGGAAATGGGGCCTCCCATGCTCCTCCTCACTCAAGGGACACACTTTGCTCCTCCCAGAAACATTATCAATTCCAGTCTAACTAACACCCACACATGCACCAAATTAATTGGTCACACCCACACTATCAACTATCAATTAATAATAATAATTTTGAACATATTCCCATGATCATAACAGGGCTGGATGTAATTAAAGAACCACGACACAATGAGATTAATGGTCAACAATTTTTATACTTTTTTCCAGAGGTGAAATGAATATGTTTTGGAAGCTTTTAATCATCAAGATCTTCTTTACTTTTAAACTAAATTGTTTTGGAAGATTTGATTTCATTTCCAAAGTTACAAGCCTTCCATCATGCTGTCCGTGAACATCATCAATACCATAATCTTTCTTCCTTTCTTTACCCACAAAAAATAATAATGAAATAAACCCAACATGTTGGGTAACCCTAAAGATAAAGGAAATCTAAAAAGAATTTTAGTCAAATTCAACAAGTTTGTAAAACTCTTTTGTAAGTCCAATTTTAGTTTAGTTTATAAAATTATCGAAAAAAAAGTGAATAACAAAGCAAAAAAAGAGTAACAACACTTCCTTAAAAAAATTACAAAAATATTTCAAAATGGATATTCATATATGGTATAGCTAAACCTAATATTTATAATGAGCAAATACATATAAAAATTAAAAAAAAAAAAAAAAAAAATTCCTTTTTTCCTATAATTTACCATTTGGTGGAGAGATCAGATCTCTCCACCAAATGTTCATCCAATTAAAACCGAACAAAACAAATGCATAAAGTGGTGGTAATTGAGTAGTTTAAAGGGGAAAACGTACTTGAGATGCAGAAGCCTTGCCGGAAAGTTTGAGATGGGGAGCAGAGGAGGGCGGCGGAGGAGTGGAGGACAGAGGGGGGGTTTAATAAATAGAAGGGATTAGTAGCTAAAGGAGGCATCCGAAGGGATAGCATGATCCAAAATTACGTAGAAGAAATTGAAGGATATAGATAAGTTGGGATCAATGCGATCCCTTTGGATGCTTCCTGTAGTTCCACACAATAGCCTTTCTTCATCTTCATCCTCTAACTCGGTTCCTAGGGGAACACTTCAATATAAAAAGACCCCCCTTTTTTCATTTTTTTTTTTTTTTATTCTCTCCCTTTTAATTATAATAAATGTTCCCAAAAAAAAAAATAATTAATTTTCACTCTAAACTTATTCTAACCATAAATTTCCAATTTCATTACCCTTTAATAATTTTTAAAAAATAAATATATTCAATAGTTAATTTGTGCATGGGTTAAAATTATCACCATGCTAAACTGTATTTTATTAATTTTAACTACCTTTAGAGATTTTTATTAGTGTGCATGTTAGTGAAAATTAAGTCAAGAGTGTAAAAATTACTCGCACTTATTGATATAATTTTTTTTTAATTTCTTTTATTAATTAATTTTTGTTAATAAAAATTATATATAAATTTTATCCTTAAACTTGGTTTGTCATGCGTACTTTTGTTCTAATACGGTAAAATTTAAATTCAATTTTAAAATATTCTCTTTTAGTCACTAAACTTTGTTATTGACATTAATTTTGTATAAATCATTTAGTAAAAAACCAGAAGAGACATGTTTAAAGGCAACTAAAAATATATAATGCCAAGTCAGAAATTATATAATAATCTTGAAAAAAAGAAAAAGAAGTTAATTGTAATGAGAGTACATTTTGAGGTTTCCCCGTTTTTGTGTATATGTTGTTGGTGGAATTTAATGGGTTTGAAAAACATTCCAATTTTGGGGAAATTAAGTTTCGTTATTCCCAATGCTTTTTTTGATTCTTTTTAAGCTGAAGCCTTTAGTTTGGGATGTTTGTTATTGTGTTCATAATCCATGTGATTATGTTTGATTTATTTTAGTATCTTCTGGAACACACTCGTCATTGTTAACAAATGAATGTTTTGTTTGTGTGTTGCAGGGCATTCAGACTTAGTTGTGCAGATGGGCATTAATAGTGGAATTTATTTAGAAAACTTTTGAGTAGAGAAAAGAAAGTGACAAAAATGGTGGTGTGATGGGTTTTTGAAAACTTCCTCCATAATGCACAATGGTGGGTACCTTATAAATGGTGCACATGGAAAGGTACCGCCACAGAAAGAGACTCTCATCCCATCCCCTCCCCTCCCCTTATTATTGCATCTTAATTTAATCTCAAAAACACTCTATTTTTAGTGACACATAACTAACACCTTCTTTCTTCTTCTTCTTCTTCTTCTTCTTCTTCTTCTAATTTGTTATTCCACTTGGGTTTCAGTTTCTGTTTTCTCTTATTCATAGATCATCATGTATGGTGCTAGATTTTGTCCACACTACTGAAGCACAATGGACCACCAACCCAGAGTGCAGGCTTTTGGTTACAAATGGGTGCTATTAAGACCCCACACCCACCATAGTAATAATAATAATTATAATAATAATGCATCAAAACAAGAAAAGAAAGAAGAAAACCAACCCTTTTCTGCCTGCCTTATACTGCCTGCTCTCATCACACAAATCAAAGCTAGCCTTTGCTTTCTGCTCTCATTATTGCCCCATTCATGTTCCTCATTTTTCGGACATAATTCTTATTTCTTCTCAGGCCTTGTAACCCAGTTGGTGGTGCATAAAGGACCATCAATATTTCAACCTCCCACTCCTTTTTTTTTTTTTTTTTTTTTTTTTTTTCCTTTCTCTCACTTTTTCTTTTACCTAAAATCATGTATCATGAGTCCGGAGCAATCTGTGCATAGCGAAATTATATTGATGGGCTATTTAGTGGTCCAATGTAATGTACAAATATAGAGGCAATGAATTGAATTCCACTGGTAAGTCTTTAATATTTGGAAGTAAGACCATCTGGACCACAAATTATATTGGTCGGAGGCATCCTCTTCAATATTTCTTGGAGTTTGTTAATATAGATTTCTCGCTAAGCTATGATGCCCCAAAATTCATAACTTTCAGTCAGACCCATTGTCCTATTTTGTTGCTGCAACTCTAGGAAAGGCAACCCAGTTTTGGTTGTCTTTTACATCATTACAAACAACAGACGCTATTAATTGCATTAAACTACGAAACATTTTAAGCGTCCCCTGATGTAACTTTACTAGAAGGATGATCCCAAGACCTGGTTTCATATCTACTCAGTTTTGATCTCTAAGCAATAAGCGTTTTATAAGTGAACTTTCCCCCCATAACATTTCACATATTGAATTGAGTAATTATAGGGTATGATTTGAGTTGATAGGTAAATGTGTATTTCCATAATCATTGTGTAGAATTCAATCATCTCACAAAAAGGGTTTGGTTTGGTATGGTATATATTAGAAAAAATGATATGATCACCAAATCATATAATTTATTTACAAAACCATCTTCAAATTTAATTTAGAGAAACCCGTCAAGAATATATGTAAATGGAAGCCACAAATTGGAGATCTGTTTTGATGGGCATCAAGAAAGCATAAGCGGGACATTATTGTCCCTCTCAGGTTATCTCCACCAACTTTGATATGGTGGTCCTTATTTAGGGTTGCAGACACCCAAAAGGAAAAGGAAAGAAGAAAACAAAAACACGAAAGGTTGTCCGTAAACTTCGGCTGCTTGGAAAGCTTGCAAATTTCCTTTTGGTGCTGTCATCCCCATATCTTTTACACACAAAACCTGACATTGTCTTCCCCATTTCGGCCTAGTTTTGATGATGAATTATAGTTCAGTTATGGAAGGATGAAAATTTATTAGCTTAAGTTTCTAGATTAGTCCATGCTTCACCATATATAATATGGTATTGCAACAACAAATCTTTTCAAATTATTTTCATTAAAATCTTAAAATATAAACCTTGCTTTTCCGGACAACCAAATATTCTCTGTTTTTTGTTCTGTTAGTTTAGATTATATTATATGAAAAAGGGCACGACACTATCTTTAGTAATTGGAATAAAAAGTTTAAGCACGTGCATGTGCATGGCCCCGGCAGGGGGCTAGCCAATTCGGAATGCTCTGAGATCCAAAAAAGAAAGCCCAAATAATTGGATTGGATTTAAAGCCCACCTCATTACATGAACTGGGTCAGTTGCCTCACCTTCGAGCTTTGAACCTCGACATTGATTTGGTTGATAATATCACTCATAACAATAATTTAAAAGGAGTTCAAGGCAATTGCTTTTATGTTCAACCTCCTTTTCTATATAGCACGGGTCAAACAAACACATAAACACACAAACAAACAATAATTTAAAAGGAGTTCAAGGCAATTGCTTTTATGTTCAACCTCCTTTTCTATATAGCACGGGTCAAACACATAAACACACAAACAATCAAACAATCAAAGGGTTGGAACACAAAATATATGTTATATTAGTAGGCCGATACTATTGTTCGCTTATTTGCTTATATTACATTTTACACTCATTTTCATACACACACCCAACAACTTCAAACCTTAACATTCGCACATTACAGTACTTAGACACAAACAAAGACCAACAGAAACAAATGTCTAGCCTGAGATTTCAATGGATCTGATTTCAGGCTTCTTCTCTTTCGTCTTGGGCACCGTCACAGTGAGAACTCCATTTTCGATGCTGGCCTTCACCTCTTCAACTTTAGCATTCTCCGGCAGCCTGAATCTCCTCACGAACTTCCCACTGCTTCGTTCCACTCTGTGCCATTTATCATTCCTCTCCTCCTTCTCTTTGCTTCTTTCTCCACTGATCTGCAGAACTCTGCCTTCTTCCACTTCTACTTTCACTTCCTCCTTCTTCATCCCAGGAAGATCGCCCTTGAAGATGTGGGCTTCTGGGGTCTCCTTCCAGTCGATGCGGGTGTTGGCCATAGCAGATGTCTCCCGATCAAATGGATCCCAAACATCCAATGACAATGCAATGGGGTCCGAGTTGTTGCTCCCACGCCCACCAAAAAATCTTGGAATTAGCGACGTCATTTCTCACTTCTGCTTACTTGAAAGCTTTCTTAAAGAGTGCAAAATTACTTTTCTTCTTGTTCGTTGATGATGCCGAAATCGAGGCGCACTTCGGGGTTTAAATAGGACGTGGCATAGAAAATTTGAGATATTTCGTGGGTGTTCTGGTGTTTTCGTTTCCCTTTTTGACTTTTGGTTCAAAATTGATGCGTACAAAATTCCAAAATCTTCTGGACCAATTGGGTAAGTTCATTGTTCTGTTTTTTTTTAATAAGCAAACAAGCCCATAGTTGAGGCCCAATGAAACTATGGATTGGATCGGAATTACTGTGCAGAGTTGGTCCAAATCCATCGAGAACGTGGTAGAAGCTTGTGGACAATCCAGGAAAGGAAGAGGGGGAGAAGATACTAGAAAAGCCACGAAACCACTCGCATGCTCCGTTGCTTCCTATTTAAATGCCTTGATCCTAGATGAGATAGGGCATCGACAAACACAGCAAACAAAATTTCGATTCTGTCGTTCTCAACTATCACTCTCAGCAATTCTACTATCTAATTCACCAACAACAACAATGGCGTTGATTCCAAGCATTTTCGGTGGGCGCCGAAGCAACGTCTTCGATCCCTTCTCCTTAGACGTTTGGGATCCTTTCGAAGGCTTCCCATTTTCAAGCTCTCTGGCCAACGTCCCCTCCTCTGCTCGTGAGACCTCTGCTTTTGCCAACACCCGCATCGACTGGAAGGAGACCCCAGAAGCCCACGTGTTGAAGGCGGATCTTCCGGGGATCAAAAAGGAGGAAGTGAAGGTTGAAATTGAAGAAGGGGGAGTTCTGCAGATCAGCGGAGAGAGAAGCAAAGAGCAGGAGGAGAAGAACGACAAGTGGCATAGAATTGAAAGAAGCAGTGGGAAGTTCATGAGGAGATTCAGGCTGCCGGAGAACGACAAGTGGCATAGAATTGAAAGAAGCAGTGGGAAGTTCATGAGGAGATTCAGGCTGCCGGAGAATACGAAAGTAGAAGAGGTGAAGGCCAACATGGAGAATGGAGTGCTGACGGTGACAGTGCCGAAAATGGAGGTGAAGAAGCCAGAAATGAAGAGCATTGAAATCTCTGGTTAGAAGGAGCGCGAGTGTTCTGCATCTGCCCATGTTGGTGAGGAGTTTGTATGGATGTTGTTAAATAAATCGTCAAAATTGAGTTTTTATGTATTTCGTGAGTGTGAAAAGATGAAAAATGATGGATGTTATGATCTAAGTAATGGAATGTAATCATAATCATGTTTATGTTTATTTTTACTTGAAGTCTTTTAAGAGAGTGCGGAAGGTGAACATCCGATATCTTTCTTTTCCATTTTAAGATATCCGATATCTTTTTTTCCATTTTAAGATTTCACTTTCTTAGAACTCACAGATTTAGCTTTTGTAGAACCTACTGATTTAAGAAACTTGAAACATCTAAGAATTTCTAAATATCATTTAATTTTGATATTTGACATTTAGTAATTGACTTGAAACATCTAAGAATTTCTAAATATCATTTAATTTTGATATTTGACATTTAGTAATTGACATTTAGTTTTTGTATTGTGGATTTAGGTTACTTGTCTAATTTATAGATCACTCTTCGTATTGTGGATTTAGGTTACTTGTCTAATTTATAGATCACTCTTGATCCTTCAAAACCTATTTAAAAAGTTATCCTTTTATTTCATGTGGCGTACATTGTCTACGCCATGATTACGATTCACCATCTCGAAGGGAGTATTCATTGATTGATTTTTAGGGAGTATTCATTGATTGATTTTTCACCATGGAGAAGGCTTTTCGGAGGGAGTATTCATATTCATGATCATTTTCTAAATTATTGGAGGGAGTATTCATTGATTATATATTCATGATCATTTTCTAAATTATTTGAGGTAGGGACTTTTATCCAAGATCTCCTCTTGAACAAGTACGTCTCTTTTTAATCCAGCCTCAGATCCTTTTTTCTTTTTGTAGTTTTAGTCATTTTTTACTTTTCTTTAAAAATTATGACTCCTTTTTCTTTTTTTGGAATTGAAATCCTTTGTTCTACCTTTTAAAGATTTTGTTAGCATGACTAAGTTTAAAACATGACTTTAATAGTTAATTAGAGCATGACTCTAATAGCAATTTAGATGAACACGTATATAACTCTCTAGAATATGAACACAACTTTTATTATAGCATTATTTTAAGTTTTTTTTAAAAAAAACCTTTAATTATAAGAGAGTATTTTTTTAATATATGTTCATAATCCTTTCCTAAATTAGTAAGGAGTGGATTATTCCTTAAATTAGTAAAGGAGTGGGAGTGGACGTGGAAGGGGGGGGGGGGGGGGGGGGGGGGGGGAGGTGGGACTTTCATCCAAGATTGGAATTGATTGGGTCACTCTAATGTTTGAACTCTCATCGAATCCGAATCCGACTCCAACATGATCTGGTTAATTTTGAGACCAAATAAAATTCATTCAAGGGGAGCATTTTGAGGCCAACTAAAATTCATTGAAGGCGGATCTTCCCCGGAGAGAAAATGAAGAGTTGAAAACACCAAAATTCTGCAGATGAGTGGGGATAAGCAAGGGGGTAAGGGGGTGTAGGAGAAGAGAATGGAAGCTTCAAAACTTTTAGTTGCCTCTACTTCCCAAACGACACGTACAAACAACTTACATTATTTTCATTTTCATCGGACACACCCAAACAAACCTTTTACATGTTCGATTACAAACTCAATGCACATTGCAGAACACAAGATAGACGAACACCTTTTTCATGTTCAATTGCAAACTCAATGCACCTTTTTCAGCTTTTCTGGTTTCCATAAGCTTCTACAACTCTCTCCATGGATTTGGACCCATTCTGCGCAGTACTTGAGGCCCAATCCGTCATCCTACAAGAAGTACAATCAAGTAATTGAATTTAACCATAAATATGTAATTACAAAAATCGATAAACAAAAAATAAAAATGGAAATCCCAATTCCAATTCCAATTCCAATTCCGAATAGATCGTGAAGGTTGGAGAAGATTCCGGAAGTTTCTACATTTTCTACGTTTTCTAGAAGTCTATTTAAAGCCTTGCACAATCAGGTAACAAGAAACAAAGTATAAACTCATTCAACTTCAGCACTCTTTTTACAAAGCTATCAACACCCAACAAAACCATGGCTCTGATTCCCGGCATTTTCGGTGGCCGCCGAAGCAACATCTTCGACCCCTTCTCATTGGACGCTTGGGATCCATCCCAAGGCTTCTCACTGGCTAACGTGCCTTCCTCCGCCCAGGAGACCTCTGCTTTTGCCAACACTCGCTTATTGCTCAGTTCATTTATTGCTCAGTTCTGTGTTTGTCTACCCTGAAATGTTCTGTAAATCTCTATGGTTATAAGTTTTGTTCAATGTGTCTGGAAACTCATTTATTGCTCAGTTCTGTGTTTGTCTACCCTGAAATGTTCTGTAAATCTCTTTGTCTACCCTGAAATGTTCTGTAAATCTCTATGGTTATAAGTTTTGTTCAATGTGTCTGGAAACTCATTTATTGCTCAGTTCTGTGTTTGTCTACCCTGAAATGTTCTGTAAATCTCTATGGTTATAAGTTTTGTTCAATGTGTCTGGAAACTCGACTTGGGTTTCCCCCTTCTCCCACTCGTGTAACGAAAAGAAAGAAAGCTCTTTTATTAATTGTGGTTGCATGGCTAATTTGGGTCACAATATTATTCAAAGCTTACAACATACATGAAAATGAAATGCTCAGTGAATGGCTTCTCTCTGTCGTCGGTAAAGCAATCGAATATCGCTAATCATCCGCTCCAAATCACGGAAGGATGATCCACCTTCTTCCACACTTGTCTTGGCCAATTTTGCAGTCTCAATAACAGAACCCATCAATTCATTTCTCTTGTTTTCCATCACATCGTTCACCATCTGTGACACTGTCTCTCTGTCGCAAACATCCTTCATGTCCACTCCAATCCTCCAAACCTCGCTCACGTATCGGCTGTTCGTCTGCTGGTCCGCAAACTGAGGCCAACAGATCATTGGCACACCGGCGACTATGCTCTCTAAAGTCGAATTCCATCCACAGTGAGTCAAAAACCCTCCAATGGCTTCATGGGCCAGCACTTCCTCTTGCGGCGCCCACTCCACCATACAACCCCTCTCCTTCGTCCCCTTCTCCAATTCCTCCGGAATCCCGTTTTCCCCATCTTCTCCGGCCACCAAATTGGGCCGCACAACCCACAGAAACCGTCTACCGCTATTCACCAATCCGTGCCAAAACTCTCTGAATTGACCATCCCCCATGACGACAACGCTACCAAAACTAACGTAGATGACAGATTTCGAAGGCTGAGCGTCCAGCCACGCCAGGCAGCTCCGATCCACCTCCCAAAGGTTGTTGAAAGACTCCGATCCCAATGGAGATTCTTCACCGGAAAGCCTGGATTTTAGGAGACTGTGGAGAGGTCCGATCGCGTAGATATTTGGGCACCGCCTTCGAAGACATGACAAAATGGGTCCTTCCAAGTCCTCAAACGTGTTGAATATCAGAGAGTGGGCCTTTAAGCTCTGTATGGTTTGGGTGACGCCGTGTTGAAGAGCTGGATCAGATGGGTCTTTGAGTCGGCAGAAGCTTGGGAGATCTCTGCATCGGAGAACGTTTTCCATTCCAGTCACGCCGTCGATCATTCTATCCATGTCTTCTTCTCCTGAATTTCAAGGGAAATCAATCAATCAATTCACGCAACAGCAAACAAATTGGGGGGAAAAGTGGAAAATGGATCATCGATCACCTTTAATGGGAAGCTGGCCATCTTCAATGAGCATGGGAACAAATGAATAAGCCCAGAAAGAACAAGCGCTAATGGTCCGAAAACTAAATACCGGGATCTTAGGTTGAGCGTCAACGTCAACGATGAAATTGAAAAGGCCGTCAAGAATTATGCAGGTGGGGTTCGGACCCAGTTCACCGGAAAGCAGCATCTGGGTGAGAAGTGGCTTGGTGATGGAATTCAAACGACGGATCAAGTCGGAGAACATGCCGAGGGTGCGATTTTGGGGTGTTAGGCCGTCGGTTATGGTTCGAAATTGGAAATTGGGAAAGCGAGAGAAACGAGATAGGATGTCAGAGTGAAGGGTAAGTTTTTGGTGAATACGGTGTATGTTAAGGAAGGTGATACGGAGGCCGGAGAGGGAAAGAAGCTCGGCGAGTTTGAGCATGGAGTTGACATGGCCTTGAGCCGGGAAGGGGAAGATCAAAACGTGAGGCACTTCTCCTTGTTGCTCCATGGGTTTCTACTTACGGTCTACTGCGCTATTTCCCTCCCCATCAACTCAATTTATAGCTCACATTTCTTAAATAAACCATTACTTGGGTTTTGGAAAAGTGGAAGACTTTGAATTTTTACCAATTTAAAACCACTTTCAATTCCGTAACTTCAAATTTACCCCACACTTTCAACAAATGGGCAATTACAGCTTTGTAGTTTGTTTGATTGTCTGTGTGATTTGTTTTATTTTGAAATTTTAGTTAGATTGTGGAGTTGGTAGTTTGTTTGATTGTCTGTGTGATTTGTTTTATTTTGAAATTTTAGTTAGATTGTGGAGTTGGATTTTTAAAGTAATCTACTTCATCAACTTTTATGTATGTATTCAGACCCCAATTTATATTGAAGATGCAATATGTCTAATATTTATGTTACAAATTATGAATTGTCACAATGTTTTACACAATTTATTTTAAAGAAAAATAGCTTTTTTCTCACTCAAAAAAATATCTATCTATGTTTTTGTTGAATGTTATTATATATGTAGAGGGTTGAGTGAATTGGCTAGCTAGCCTTTGAGTTGGCACTCACTAAAACAGGGTTTTACTTTGAAGAAATGTAATACCCGAACTACAATGGAAAGTTTAAAATCTAAGTTTACCTTGAAAGTCGATCTCTCTCAATTTTATTGAAGGTTTTAGGGACCAAAATCCGAGATGCAGCCCAAGAGAAAGATGATTTGAAATAAAAGAAGAAGTTAAAAAAAAAAAAAAAAAAAAAAAAA